TAATTGGAAGCTGCTGGCTAGCAATCTATTTGATAATGTATTTTTCTATGTATTTACTTAATTTTTTATTTTGCAATCACAGCTTGCTGCAGCCTTCACCTCCTGGGCTCAAGTGATCCTCCCACCTTAGCTTCCCGAATAGCTGGGACTACAGGCATGTACCACTACACCAGGCTAATTAAAAAAAAAATTTTTTTTTTGTAGAGGTTGGGGGGTGGTCTCCCTGTGTTGCCCAAGCTGGTCTCAAACTTCTGGGTTCAAGCCATCCTCCTGCCTTAGCCTCCCAAAGTGCTGGGATCACAGGCATAAGCCACCACACCCAGCCAATAATGTACCTTTCTGGGCTAACTCAATGGTCAACTGATACAGCTAGCTCCACAACTGGCTCTGAGACCACGTGACACTTGGGCTTCAGCTGCCACTGGGCTTCCACACTTGTGGCACTCCAGCTCCCCTGGCTCTGACCCCTGACTACGTGTAGCCTGCTTCTGACAGCTACTCCCCAGACACCTGTGGAAAGTGTTTGGACCTGCCCCTGCTCAAAAGCAGCCCTCCCCTCGTAGGAGAGAATACTGGGCAGGTGATGAAAACCACAATCAGACTAGAAAAGTCTGGGACCATCAGGGGCCAGGTGACTGGAGATGAGGCATTCCAGGATGAAGGCAAGGTCCTGATGGAACGCTGATGTGCTGTGTGGAGGTTCACCAGGATGGAGGGCAATTCATGACTGATTCAGAAAGCTTTCCTTTGGAATCGGAATTGTTAGCAAACTCTCCGGTTCAGTGTTCAGGGACTGTGCAAACCTGCTTTTACAATTCTTCAAGCAATCTCACATAAAGGTCACTGTCAGAGCAAATACTCTCTTTTGAATGCTGACTACAATGTTTTTCTCCACCTTTCAAATTAGTTTTACCAAGGCTACTGAGTGGACAGAGAACAGAAACACTTATAAAAGTGTTCCTATCTATCTGTCTGTCTGTCTGTCTGTCTGTCTATGTATCTATCTATCTAGAGACAGGGTCTTGCTCTGTCACCCGGGCTGGAGTGCAGTGATGTGATTTTACTCACTGTAACGTCAAACTCATGGGCTCAAGCAATCCTCCTGCCTCAGCCTCCCAAAGTGTTAAGATTACAGACATGAGCCACTGCACCCAGCCTTTATATCTAATTCTTTATATTTTTCCTGTTTGCCTGAGATATATATATTTTTAATTTTTAAAAATTGTTTTTAGATGGATCTCTCTGTTACCTAGGCTAGAGTGCAGTGGTGCAATCTTGGCTCACTGCAACCTCCGCCTCCTGGGTTCAAGCGATTCTCCTGCCTCAGCCTCCCCAGTAGCTGGGATTACACGCATGCGCCACCATACCAAGCTAATTTTTGTATTTTTAGTAAAGATGGGGTTTCACCATGTTGTCCAGGCTGGTCTTAAACTCCTGACCTCAGGTAATCCATCTGCCTCAGCCTCCGAAAGTGCTGGGATTACAGGTGTGAGCCATCATGCCTGGCCTATTTAAACATTTTTTATTTATTTTATTTTATTTTATTTTTATTTTTTTTGAGACGGAGTTTCACTCTTGTTACCCAGGTTGGAGTGCAATGGCGCGATCTCGGCTCACCGCAACCTCCGCCTCCTGGGTTCAGGCAATTCTCCTGCCTCAGCCTCCTGAGTAGCTGGGATTACAGGCACGCGCCACCATGCCCAGCTAATTTTCTGTATTTTTAGTAGAGACGGGGTTTCACTATGTTGGCCAGGCTGGTCTCAAACTCCTGACCTAGTGATCCACCCACCTTGGCCTCCTAAAGTGCTGAGGTTACAGGTGTGAGCCACCATGCCTGGCCAGGGATTTTATTTTTTTAAGTTGACAAATAATAATTGTACATACTCATGGAGTACACAGTGATGTTTTAATACATATAATGTATAGGAATCAAATCAGGTCAATTAGTATTTCAGTGTCCCTTGGATTTCCTAGGAAAAGAAATATATTTTAAAGATGATAGAAAACAAAAGGTAGGTCAAATATCAGAACAATTCCAGCTTTTGTTTTTTGGGAAGGACTGAAACAGTGGACTAATCCAAGTACTTATGCAGACAAAGGGGCTGAAGGTAGCCTGTAGTCTACCAGCTGGTGGCCAGCAAAATAAAGCCCAGCTCTCTTGAATTCCCACTGGGAACACAGGGACTGCAGGTATCCAGTGTGTGTCTATGTAGCCCACATTTGAAATAAAATATAGCAAAATATAATGATGCTTAGGCAGTTCAGGTGTTAGAAAAGGGAGCTGGGGTCTATGGATGGGGCATGCAGCTGGGTGGGAAGGGAAAGGACATCTGAATTTACCTGACAGTCGGACAGTCTTGCCTCCCGGCTAGTTGTGAGCACTGTGGCGGTACGGAGGCAGCAGGCTGCTGACAATCTACAAGAAACTGATAAATTAGACATGTATACAAAGAGATGACAGAGCAAGGTGTTAGTAACAGTGACTAAAGCAGCTGCCTGAGAGATTTAGTGAGGAATGTGCATTCACACAGAAACATTCTGATTCAGCTTTTTTTTTCTTATTGAATGATGCCAATAGAAAAGACAGGCTTTTCTTTTTTTAAAGTATTAAAAATTAGTGACAGCATTCGTAGCAAGATTTCTCAAGTACATTAGGACATATGTGGCCATTTGTCTTTGGTATTTTGTTATGTCTAAAAATAAAGGGTCTATTAATATAATGAAAGATCTTCTAGTTCTAAACTTGAACATGGTGGTAATTATTTGCTTAGCACTTAGATCTGCTATTCCAAAATGGAATGTATTCAGATAACTGACTTTACTGTCAGGACACGTGGACATATTGTCAATCCCATAGGTACCTTGAGAAAGTGTGCAGTATGATCTTTTCCATGATTAGCAGAATCTTAACTGAACAAGGAAATCATCCTTATAGTTTTCTGAAATTGATTTTATATATTGAAAATAGAACTGTTGGCTGAAATCTTAGAATGTCTATTACATAGTAGATTGTTAGTGACTTGGACTAGAAAGCTAACCTGAATGACAACTACGCTTTATTTAGCTTTTACCATTTTAAAGTCACACAGTATAACACACTAGGTTAACAAAGTGTTAGCTAGTAAAAATCAAGCTTTAGCTGGGTTAATCATCTACTCCAAGAAAGTAGTGCCTGGTGTTCTAAAAAATCAGAGAGCACTTTGTTTACTGGTACCAGGTGACTATGTTAGAATCATGCAAGAAGCTGGTTAGAAATGCATACATCAGCTTTCTCCAAAAAGATTTTTTTTTTTTTTTTTTTTTTTTTGAGACGGAGTTTCGCTCTTGTTACCCAGGCTGGAGTGCAATGGCGCGATCTCGGCTCACCGCAACCTCCGCCTCCTGGGTTCAGGCAATTCTCCTGCCTCAGCCTCCTGAGGAGCTGGGATTACAGGCACACGCCACCATGCCCAGCTGAATTTTTGTATTTGTAGTAGAGACGGGGTTTCACCATGTTGACCAGGATGGTCTCGATCTCTTGACCTCGTGATCCACCCGCCTCGGCCTCCCAAAGTGCTGGGATTACAGGCTTGAGCCACCGCGCCCGGCCTCCAAAAAGATTTTTGTAAACAAGTTAAAAATAGAATTAAACTTAAAAATTATTCTTAATTGAAGCATTTCCTCTTGAAAACTGATTAGACTATGTATTTGCTTAGCCAACCCCTTTCCTTATAAGTGTTTGAGACAGAGTTTCACTCTTGTTGCCCAGGCTGGAGTGCAATGGCGTGAACTCGGGTTGCTGCAACCTCCACCTCCTGGGTTCAAACAATTCTCCTGTCTCAGCCTCCGGAGGAGCTGGGATTACAGGTATGAGACACCATGCTCGGCTAATTTTGTATTTTTACAAAATTAGGTGGGGTTTCACCATGTTGGTCAGGCTGGCCCTGAACTCCTGACCTCAGGTGATCCACCCACCTCAGCCTCCCAAAGTGCTGGGATTACAGGCATGAGCCACCGCACCCGGCCTCCTTATATGTCATGTAAGTAATATTTAATCCAAATTATCACAAATTCTGGATTTACAGCCTTAACGAGGCTCTACTGATTTTTACATTTAAAGTCTTGAATTTATCCTCTAGGAATGCAGTGGGGGGAAAAAAGAAAAGAAAAAAAAAAAGTCTTGTATTTAAGTATCACCTGTTTTTTTTCTTTTTTGAGATGGAGTCTCACTCTGTCACCCAGGCTCAAGTGCAGTGGCGTGATCTTGGCTTACTGCAAACTCCGCCTCCCAGATTTGAGCAATTCTCCTGCCTCAGCCTCCTGAGTAGCTGGGATTACAGGTGTGCACCACCACACCCAATTTTTGCATTTTTAGCAGAGACGGGGTTTCACCATATTGGCCAGGCTGTTTTAACTCCTGATCTCAAGTGATGCACCTGTCTCGGCCTCCCAAAGTGCCAGGATTACAGGCATGAGCCGCCAGGATTACAGGCATGAGCCACCAGGCCCGGCCAAGTATCATCTGTTTTAAAGCCAATATACTCTGTCACAAAAAAGTCTGCCTATATAACTCCAGAATTTAACATTCAAAGAAACTGCTGGTGCTTTTCTAGAAATACACTAAAACTGTTTGTGATGCAAAGTAGAATACAGTATAAGGCAGGCTCAATTTTCATTCACTCAAGAAAACATTACTGAAGGGACCCTTTTATATGGTGGTCTTTGTTGCCATCTTATTAAGTAGTGCATATTAACAGGAATGAGGAGATCTGATTTTTGTTTGGTAGCTGGTTCAGACGATCATATTCAATGAAAGTCTTTCAAATGTAACAAATGATTAGGAAATCCCTTTGTTTTTTAACTCTGTTTTCCCATTTTGAGCATGATTAGCTCCAGATTCCCTTTTGTAGAAACTCAGAGTCTTAAGGGATGCATTCCTTTGTCTTTTCAAAATCTTTGCTCCCTTTGTCTTTTCCAACACCTTTCCTGCCTATCTGAGTGGTAATTTAGGAATGTCTTAGACTAATTTGGACAACTATTTTGATAAGGCCACCAGATAGGCAGTTTTTAAGTTAACCAAGTGTATACTGCCCTCTGATGGTGTGTTTGGGTAAATGCAATGGATGTAAAAACCACGCTGGATTCCTTGCGTCTTACATTGCCAGGGAGCTATAAATAAAACTCTTCTAAAGAAGAGTAGTGGCCTCTGTGGAATTGCGATCCTTAGAATTAGAGTAACTAGAGTATTAAAATGGCTTACATCTTAAAAAAAAATCTCATATTTTTGACTTTTTTTGCCAATACAGTCACAGGTTATTACTCATTCAAAATATAATTTATGATAAAATTCAGAAAGCAGGTAATAAGAATTGCAGTGTACTTAATGAAATGCTAGCTAGGTGGTAGACATTCTTCACATTTGTAGTGAATATCACATTTTCCTTCTTTAGAAGTAACATCACCTCTGGCTAATATTTATTTATTTAATTTTATTTTTGAGACAGAGTTTTGCTCTTGTTGCCCAGGCTGGAATGCAATAGCACAATCTCGGCTCACTGTAACCTCTGCCTCCTGGGTTCAAGTGACTCTCCTGTCTCAGCCTTCCAAGTAGCTGGGATTACAAGTGTACCCTACCACGTCCAGCTAATTTTTTTGTATTTTTAGTAAAGATGGGGTTTCCCCATGTTAGCCAGGCTGGTCTTGAACTCCTGACCTCAGGCGCTCCACCCGCCTTGGCTTCCAAGAGTGCTGGGATCACAGATGTGAGCCACTGCGCTCGGCCTATTTATTTTTTGAGACAGGATGTCATGCTGTCACCTAGGTTGGAGTGCAGTGGCTATCATAGCTCACTTCAGCATCCAACTCCTGGGCTCAAGTGATCCTCCTGCCTCAGCCTCTTGAGTAGCTGGGACTACAGGCACATGCCACCACACCATGCTAATTTTTTAAATTTTTGTACAGACAGGGTCTCACCATTTTACCTAGGCTAGTCTTGAACTCCTGGCCTCAAGCAGTCCTCCTGCCTTGGCCTCCCAAAGTGTGGGGATTGCAGATGTGAGCCACTGCTCCTAGCCAAACTAATTATTATTATTTTGCATTTATTATTTATAAGGACTTAGCTACTTATCCTTAAAAAACAAATTCCATGGATAAAATGGTGATGGACTTAAAAAATTAAACTATAATGTAGCTAGATTGCTCTGACTCAATTGTCTTCTAAATCCCTCTTCTCAGGTCTACAGTCCTCCAGTTGTGTCATTTGTAGCCTGGCTGAGCCACGGATGTGTCTCAGCATGTACTTTGTGAAATGAGGGAGGTAGGCTGTGAGGCTGAGGAAGTCCCTTGCAGCTCTGAGATGCTGCAAGCTCTAAGTGATCTCCCCTGCTCCACTTAGGATCTATTCTGCTAGGCTCACTCTTGAAGGAACTAGGCCAAATCTCATTGCTTCAGGGAGCACAAAAGATGACCACTATGTGCATGAAGGAGCAGGCATTGTAGAACCCACAAAGCCATTGCTGTCGTTTGGCCACCAGGATTTGTCTCAAGCATTCAACAATCAAGTTACTAAACTCCTATTTTGTGTCAGAAATGGTTAGGCAGCATGGGGAGAAAGGTGAACAGAGAAAATGTGGTCCCTGCTTCATCGAGGAAGAAGCATATTCAATAAGCAACTACAATGAAGTGTCATGATGACAATGGTGATGGAGATGGTAATGATGACAGCATCTAGCACTTATTTATTTCTTACGATGTGTCAGGCACTGTATAGGCACTTAATATCCCTGCTCTTCTATAACCCTGTTTTACTAATCTCACTTTACAAATAAGGAAACGGGAACTTAGGTTAAGAAACTTGACAAACTCCACTAGGAGGCAGAGTGCAATTTGAATCCAGGACTGTGTGATCCAAGGGCTGAGCTGAACTTGCCTATGTGTCACTGCATTGCCTCTTATGATAGGGAAAGTGTAGGGTGTTACAGGACCTCACAGCAAAAGTTAACTAAATTAAATTAGTTTATATATAGCTAATCAAACATAACTAAATCTAAGCGGTCAGGGAATGCTTCTTGGAGGTTGTACTATCTAGGCTGACATCTAACAAAGTGAGTTAGTCAAGTAACTTCTTCGTAACTACAAACTTTTTGTGGTCTTTAGTAACAGTAGTAAGATATTTTATCATAAAATTAAAGTTTATTTGAAATGATCAGAATGGAATTAGAAAATGCTGTAAGTTTATATGATAAGGCCACAGGCTTGAGAAATGTCATAGCATACTCAAGAGATTATTTATGTAATTTTTTTTAGAGACAGGTCTTGCTATGTCGCCCCGGCTGTAGTGCAGTGAGTTCAAGCAATCCTCCTGCCTCAATCTCCTGAGTAGATGGGACTACAAGTGTGTATCACTGCACCCGGTTCAAGAGATTATTAATGCCTCAA